ATTCTAATATAATTCTTATTTCGGATATGAGGACATATCTGATATTACTGATCTGAGCATTTTTTTCTGATTTATAAGGTTCGGATAATTGAATCTTATTGAGCATAGACTAAGTAATTTGCGTATATTTAAAAAAATAAACTTTTGCAAAAACTTTAACAGCACTTACCTGGTAGTCGGCGAGGTGTGAGCGTGGTGTGGTCGGTTTTTCCTGAAAATTTTCTTTCTGAAACTCAAACTTTTAGTATACAGAGCGTTTGAACTTTAGCTCTGATACCAACTGTAACACCCTGCTTATCAGAGTAAATTTTTCGCAACTTATTTCAAAAATACTTATAAATTTTTCGAAACCTTCTTAACTCGGGATGCTACTAATTTATCTACTTTATAAATCTGTTTACTTAAACTTTATCTAACAACTAAGTTAGACATAAATAAAACAGATTTTAAACATTGAACAAATATAAAAAAACTTAACAGTTCATACAATCAACTTCATAAATCAACCTTTAAAATCACACTTAAAATCACACTTGTTCAAATCTTAAAGAAACGTAGCGGAAATCTTACAAGCGTGGTTTACAAACCGAAACCTTATTGAAAATTCTCAATAGAAACTTATTCACATCCACGACCACCACAGCTCCTCACACCTGCGCACCATCTTTATTTCCTGAAAAAAAAAATGATAATAGTGGGGCGTGAGTACTAATCAACTGTACTCCGTAAAAACCCATACTAAAGTAAACAGCAATAATAATATCAATATCATGATCTTTGGTATGTATCTAAGCTTAATCTTTCGGTATCTAACCGATACTTTAACTTGAACTTTGCAACTACCGGTAACTTGGGCCGGTTCTCACTTGATCACATTCTGGGGGTCCCCTCCCACAGAACCCAATCTTGACTGAGCGAGCTTAATACTTTACTTAACTTTATACATACCTCGAACATGATAATAGCTATTATACTCAATGTAATACCCAGTCTGGGTCCCCACCTTTTCTTGTTGAAAACTTTTGAAAACTGTAAGTGCTGTACTGATAGCTGTATCTGCAACTACATAAAAAAAATATAAACAAATATACTAAGTACTATGCTCATTATACTTACTAAAATACTCGGATACTCACATCTATCAGATAACTTATCCGAATATAAAAGAATACTCTAGAGATCATACTAAGTCCGGATTTAAATTGGTATACTTAAACTGAACCGAAACTTAATCATTTTCATACTCTTCAAACTTTCACATTAATTAATATAATGAGAAAAACTTAAATCATATGCTATAACTCAATTCACCTCATTTTAATCTTAACTTTAACATATGTATTCTCAACATATATATAAAGTTACCATAAAAAATTTCACTTTAAAATAATATTCATATCTTGAGATATATTATTTCAAAGTTGAACTATATCAAAACATTCAATTTACTTGCATACTTGTCTTTAAAAATCTATATCTCATGCTACAATTATCTGAAAATTCTAAAACTTTATATCTTAACTCTCAACTAAATGAAGAAATATTTTATAAATTTTCTCATAAAAATAATAACCATAAAGTGAGATATGAATTTTCAAATAATGTTTGTCTTACTGAAATTCGAGATTTACTCACTTATGTTCATTATTTTCTATAGCATCTTAAACAAGTCCAATAAATATAAAATTTAAACGGGAAGTTTCTAACTAATATATGAATTGACCATAAAATTTCCAACTCAAAATAACATCAATAAGTAGGGTAATTCAATACCACAATTCATCATTACTACACAGATTTTTCACTAGACAACACCTTAATAAAAGATTTTTATAATATTCATTTTAACTTCGACTAATCTAAAATTTTCCAGTATTATTTTCAACATAATGATTATCTTATATAAAAATTTTCATAATTTTTGGAACTCAATAGCTTGGTCAAAAATAAACAAACATAAGCTGCAATATCATGAACTTTAAATAATCTTGTTTTATATACTTATATATATAAAAATTATAATTTCTTAACATAACAACATATTAATA